ACATTAAATACCCGGCGCAGGTACCGCTACATGGTAAGTCGGTGTGTATCAGTTTTGAGTAAATTAGCGTCCTTAAATTTCGAAATATTGAAGTTTCAAGCATTTCTGAAATTTGCCGTTATATGAAAAGTGGTCGTAATTTGAATCTGATTCCAATAATTTTCAACGTTTTGCTTCTATGTGGCAAGCACAATAATCATACCGAGTTTGGTACAAATTGGTAGAACGGTTACCGAGATACATATATGTGATCATAAGTGGGCGGTGCTACGCCCATTTTCCAAAATTTTGCCATAAACGTATTTCTTGGCAAAGAATTGTTGCAAACATAAATTTTGAGTAAATTAGCTTTAGTATTTGTTGATTTATCGAAGAAGTCGTATTTCTCCAAATTACCGTTATATGGGAGGTAGGCGTGGTTATTGTCCGATTTTAAAAATTTTCGGCCATTTGGTATGCTGTAGCAAGACTAACAACTGTACCAGTTTGGAAGAAATTGGTGCAGCAGTTACCAAGATATACACATGTATCCATAAGTGGGCGTGGCTACGCCCATTTTACAAAAATGAACAATATTCTTATTTTTCGTCTAAAGGTTATTGTAGATATCAATTTTGAGTGAATAATCTTCAGTAGTTACTAAAATATCGCAGTTTTCGTATTTCGGAAAATTACCGTTATATGGGAGGTAGGCGTGGTTATTGTCCGATTTTGGCCATTTTCAATACCATCCGTCCTACGCCCGAAAGAAGTGCACATACCGAGTTTCGTTAAGATATCTCAATTTTTACTCGAGTTATCGTGTGCACAGACGGACGGACGGACAGACAGTCACCGCTTAATCGATTTCTCTTTTCATTCTGATCATTTATGTATACATTTGTCTATATCTATCTCGATTCGTTTTGCCTGTTATAAACAACCGTTATGTGAACAAAGTTATAATACCCTTGTGCACAAGTGTGCTCGGGTATAAAAATATATTAAGGAACCCAAGGCACATTAAACAGGTAGTATCAGTAGAGCAAAAACAACATTTGCGTGTATTTTGTTGTTGCTTCTGGTATCGAAAGTGTCAAAAACTGTTCTGAATTTTTTCTTCTAAATCAAAGCGTGCCATGTGAAATACAAAAAATTATAAAAAATAAAAAATTGAAATTGGAAAAATAAAAATTTATGCAACTTTCTTTCCTAGTAAATTTGTTTGCTTCTCGAAGCATTGATCCATCCTTTGCAAGGCCCAGTAATCAGCGGTCGTGCTGCCGAGTTGGGCGAACGTTCCAAAAGCTGCTATTCAATCGCTTGTTTTGTATGGGAAAAGGTTTCACAAGCAAATGGATTTTCAAGAATTTTTCAGAATTTTTGTGAGAAAAAATTAAAAATATTTGACATTTTCGAGACCAAATAATTTGAAAATAAATCAAATCAGCTGCTCTACTCATACTACCTGTTCAATGTACCTTGTAAGGAACCATTATAAAATTAGGACTATTTTGGGATTTTTAACATTTTGATATTATGTCCCCCAACTTAGACTATCTCTGGTGAAAAAAAAGTACTGAGCTATAACTTTACATTACATAAAAAAATTGCTCATTTATTAAATATTTCAGAAATGTGCCACTCTTACTATTTCGAATAGAAAAAAAAGTTATAGCCGCTTTTGTGGGTAAAGGACTGAGACACGCTAGAATGTATTTAATAGATTTAAATTTAAGTTGCTCTTATTACTGACCAATGACATGCTAAATAGTACAAAGGTACATTATTACATGCTCCTGACATTATTTTATGTTACTTACCGGGATGCGGACTAGAGTCAATAACAAGGGCTATATCTATCAATATTTTTTGTGAAGGATGGGTTCGCGTGAAATAAAACATACATGAGTTGTTTGCAGAAAAATTTATTCATTTATTGATAAAATATGCTCAAATTGGCGACCTTCTACTCTAATACAAACTCGGCACCTTTAAAGAAAAGACGCTTTTAGAGATCTTAAACTCAATTGGACTATCTCAGCAGCAGCTCCATTTATTTTTTTCGGCAAATGCTCTTCGTCTTCAATTATTTTTGAATTAATTTTGTCCTTAAGACAGCCCCAGTAGAAAAAATCGAATGGATTCAGGTCTGGCGATCGAGCAGGCCACGTGATTGGCCCGTATCGTCCAATCCATCGGCAAGGATAATGGGTCGATTATGTATAGCAACGCAACTATGGTTTGGTTGGCAGCTTGCAACGCAACTAGAAAGAAAATTTGTATTACGAATGGCAACTATCGCCAGTTGTTGAAAAGTTATCGATAATTGAAATTTGACAGCTCGTCAACCAGCGCAGGATTGTAACAAGCAAAATAATAGCAAAATAAAAGTGAAATAAAGTTATTAATATAGAGTTTTTAATAATAAGTCTTGCTACAATGCTTAGTTCAATAGAACTATTTTTTGAAGAGGAGGAGGATTGTACGAACGCAGCAGGCGACATTTAAGGGATAATTTCAATCCTTTAGAGCTGCCGCCGGCACTGTAAGTAAAAGTTATGATACGGTTTAGTTATTTGTACAATGATTTTAAGTTGTGGTGTTCAAACGCGTTACCGGAATCCTAAAACTTTAACATATACGTGATTGAAATTATGAAATTTTAATCTACTTTTTTGTAAATTTCTATGTGGGTTCTGCGCAAAAGTACTGTGGATGGCGTAGCCGGAATTATACGTACAAGAAATGATGTATACTTTTGACAATAGCAGTTTGGACTGTGCTTTTTGTAATGCATGGGGCTTTAGGTGCAACGGCCCCTCTCCCTCCGCTCCACACCACAAATTCATTGTACCAATAACTAAACATTTTCCAAAAGTTAACGCTTGGAAGACTTTATTGTGATTCTTTTTGTTTTCAGAATTAAAGCATATTTCCGACTTCCAAAAGAAGCTGTATTATATTTGGTAAATACATTGAGGGATGACTTTAGGCGGAATCATCGTTCAACTGCAGTACCTCCGCTAATAAAAGTTTGCGCAGCTCTCCGATTTTTTGCAGATGGAAGTTTTCTGAAGTCTCACGGCAATGACTTCAATTTGGGACTGGCGCAACTTACGATGTCGGTTGTTTTAAAAGAGATGCTTCAACTTATTGAGGAAAAAATTTGCAATCAATGGATTACTGCAAAAATGACCGAGGAAGAGAAATCCAAAAACAAGAACTTCTTTTACTCGAAAACGAAATTTCCAGGTGTTGTTGGATGTATAGATTAGACACATGTGCATATATTGGGACCGAATGATAATGTTCGCCATTTATATATGAACAGAAGAGGATATTTTAGTTTGAATGTTTTACTGGTGAGTTATGTTATCTTGAATGGTTATTTTGTATGACATTTCGTTTTTGTTTTTTTTTGTAGATGTGCGATTACCCAAATGCGGATACGGTATGTTGATGCTAGGCATCCAGGATCTACTCACGCTGCTTTTATTTGGAACAATAGTGATTTGAAACAAATGGTTGCTGATGATTTTGGTCCGAACACTTGGCTTCTAGGTTATATTTCGTTAATAATTATGAAACCTTTTCATTTCACTCTAAAATACCTATGTGATTCTGGATTTCCATTAGAACCACATCTTTTGACCCCTTTTCGTTCAGCGGAACCTCAATCACCTGAAGCAAAATACAATACAATCCATTCTAAAGCCCGAAATGTGATAGAGCGGACAAATGGCGTCCTTAAGTCTATATTTAGATGTCTTTCTGCTGAAAGGGGCCTGCACTATAAACCTGACAAAGCTGGGTCTATAATAAATGCATGTTGCGCGTTGTATAATATTGGTTTACACTATAAAGCAGACTGGGAGGAAGATCTGACAATCTCGCAGGAAGTTGCAAGTCCAAATGTAACTGAGAATGATAACACCGTAGCCTCTGATATAAGATATAATGTAATGCAATGTTTAAATGAATAAAACAATCTTTTAGTTGAATAAAGTATTTCATTTTAAATTCACTTTTATTAAAAGTAAACAACACATTTATTTATTTTTAGCGTTGTTCATGTTTATTAGTTTTCAGGTAGGAAATCAACTTATTTTATTTCAACTTTTCTTTCAGCTTTCCTTAAAACTAATATATCACATATCGACGGCTGAATGAAAGGTCGTCCTATCTCGGTAGCCAGTTCGAAAACGCCGTATCTCAGAAAACTTTCCAATAACGCTCTATTTCAGAATTTGATTGCAGAACGCCCTATTTCAGAATTCGATTAAAAAACGCCCTATCTCAATATATTTGCATATGAGATAGGACGTTTTTCAACCGAATTCTGAAGTAGGGTGTCTTTCAATCAAAATCTGAGATTGGGCTTTATTGAAAACTTTTCTGAATACGATTTCGAACCGGCGGCCGAGATAGGTCGATCTCCCACTCTGCCGTTGATAAAGTATGCAAAACATATGTACCTAATTCACTTTGGTTTTAATTAAAAATACTATATCACAACAAAAAATACATAATTCACCTTTCTTAAAACTAAAAAAACATAACACAGTTAATTCAATTGATCTTAATAGTAAAAATATAGGTATAAATAAAAAGCCTCAACTTAAATTGGAGATCTGTTTTTGTAAGAGCTCCAGTTTTTTTTGTTTAATTGCTGCTCTTCAGCAAGCATATGATGTTCTTTTTTTCATCTCATGCGCTTCTTTACATATATTTAATTTTTCCCTCTTCAAATCCCGTATATCTTTTAAGAGATCATTTCTTCTGGACAGCTTTCTTTCAATTTTTTCCAACTTATTAACAACCTCACCCTAGGTTCCTATTTGTTGCTGGAGGAGGTCTAATCGGATATCGTGCGCCCTCTTTCTCCTAGGTGGTTGTACTGCTACAGGAGGCGTCACCGTTTCTTGCTGTGGTTGCTCTGTCTCTACTTAAAAAATTGTTTCAATTTCCTCAATGTACCCAATATTTTCAGTGTCCTGAGGCTGTTGGGGTAAAATTGCTCAGAACGTGCGACCTGGCGGATCGACCGAAGTGCCCATTTGCAGAAAGTCCGCTGCGGCCTGCTCCAGCGCGGACAAACTTATTTCTGCAGATGGTCCGCCGCCGGTGATATTTCTCCTATTATGTGCCATTTTCTTTCTCAGCTTGGCTTTAAAATGTATCCATACCCTCTGGCATTTTTCGGATGTACGAGTTGGCGGTCCGTAACTATTTAATTTAGATGAGATTTCCTTCCAAACATGCTCAGTATTTGCTTTTGTCTCGCCAAAAGCGCGTACACCACGAGCAATCGAAGGATTTTGCTCCATTTGTTGCACCAAAATCTCAAATTGTTGTCTTGTAGTTATTTTCACCATATTATGCAAAAGCAAATACATTGCCAACTGCTAAAAATTAAAATATTTTACTCGCTTGTAAAAACGCTATTCTAACCTCCACAGCAACCACAAAAATGCAGTTGCTGGTATACACACTTTGTGACAACTTCAGTTGACAGTTGAGAGTTGCCAGATGCCATCTATAATATCGTTTTGGCAACTGCCAACTCAACTGAAGTTCAGTTGATATCGATAATCGACCCATAAGTTTCGTCTAAATGAGCTCTTGCTTCGCGCCCGTAGTGAGCACGGCATCCGTCATTTTGCTGCCATAGTCTTCGCCGCAGGTTTAAGGGTACATCTTCTAAAAGAGTTGGAAGTAGTTCCATAGGTCCCAATATCTGACAATTAAAAATACCGCACCATAAATTTATTTTGTACTGGTACTGCGAACGATCTTATCTCATTTCGTGAGGGTTGTCTATCTGCCAACTGTGAAGGTTATGTAAATTAAAATAACCATCACGTTTGCATGGTGATTCATCGCTCCAAATTATTTTATTAAAAAAGTTGGGGTCTGAATCATGCATTCACAACATTTCACTGCAAAATCTAACCCTCGACAGGTAATCTATCTTGTAGAGCCTGAACACGTTGAATGTGGTAGGGATGGTATTTTAAAGCTTTGTGAACTGTAGTTTTTGGTATTCCAGTCCGTCTTTCCATCATTCTCCCTGAAGTCAATGGACCTAGTTCCACTTCCTCTAACACAACATTAACATCTACCGTTGCAGGACGTCCTGTCTCGCCGCCATGCCTTCCAGGTATGCGACCTTAAAAAAGTTAAAAATGATAGTTAAAAGAAGAATGGCTTCAAACAAGAAAGGTGTAAAAATCACTTACCTTCATATATTTCTCTATGGGTCCGGGCGAATACTTCACGACCCGGATGCCGACGATCTGGGTAACGCTCTGCATAGTCTTTGAGCAGCTCTGGCATTACAGCAAGCTTCACCGTAAATTAGGTGAATATCCGCATATTCATGCGACGTATACTGCGTGTTCTCTGTCATAGTATTAATACCACAATGTTCGAAGGGTCCACTTTCACAAAATCCACTTTCATTATTTCCGGTAATGTCAGGAGCAAGTAATAATGTACCTTTGTACTATTTTGCATGTCATTGGTCGGTAACAAGACCAACTTAAATTTAAATCTTTTAAATACATTCTAGCGTGTCTCAGTCATTTACCCACAAAAGCGGCTTTAACTTTTTTTCTATTCGAAATAGTAAGAGTGGCACCTTTCTGAAATATTTATTAAATGAGCAATTTTTTTGTGTAATGTAAAGTTACAGTACATTTTTTTTCACCAGAGATAGTCAAAGTTGGGGAAGAAAATATCAAAAAGTTAAAAATCCCAAAATAGTCCTAATTTTATAATGGTTCCTTAATATATTTTTACTACATTGTATTTAAATATGGAGAAGCAACTATCTGGAAGTATTTTACATAAAAAATTTACTAAGTATATTTGGTAACTTTTTCGATAGGTCAATTCAGGTTCTGATTCCACCATAGGAAGTGGCCCGTAAGCGTTTCCTTTTATAGAAATACCTGGTAATCCTGAAAGTTTCGCAAGGTGAAAGTTGTTCCAGCGTTCCTTGGTTACTAGAATGGTGTGATCTTTAACAAACTGCTTGAAAGTGGCTTTTGCTAAGTATAACTACCGTGTCCTTTCCTGGAAGGCTTTGGGTGGTCGTACCTTTCCCTGTCAGTTCGTCAGCTTTTCAATTACCATCAATTTTCTGGTGTATCCTGCAACCATACATATGAGTAGAATTCTACGTAAGTATGTATGTTCTCGTTCAAAAAGCTACGGGATACAACGGGGCACTTTACTCTGTATATGTGTGAGACGAAAGATTTCCTTCAAGTGTTGAATTTTTGATATATTTTCTTGTTACTTGTTTACATACAGTGGTCAAAAAAATTATAGTCACACCATATTTGGACAGGTTTTTACATATTATTTTTGTTGTAATTTAATTTTGGTTATTTCTTTACAAAATATAGATCTTTCTTTAATAGAATTTGTGTAAATTCAAACTTCAAACTTTGTTCAATATTTAAAAAATTCAACAAAACTTTCGTAAAAATTTTAGGTGAATGGAGCTCTGCTTGCCTGAAAAACTTGGTGACTTCGGATGTATTGTACAGTTCTGCACATAAAATAAGTTTCGTAATTTCATGAATCGTAAGTTCACCAAAAATGTGTGGTAAAAAAAAACACAGACAGTCAACTGATAGCTTTTACGATGCCTTTTGCCCGCGCCGCCGAAAGAGACGCAATGGCCGAATGGTCAAAGCATTAGGCTGCCGGTCGAGAGGGTCCGGTTTCGAGTCCTCCTCGAGCGTAGAGAATTTTTTGTTTTTTTATTTAGTATTTTTTATTAGTTTAATTTTTTTTGAATAATCTTTAGACTTAAATGTTTTAAAAACAATTTTTTTTTCAATGGATCTGTATGATATTAAAGAATTTTGGTTTATTTCCTAAAGAAATTGTTATTGAACAAATTTCCTCGCTTGATTTTTGCGTTTTTTTTTTAATAAAATGGAAAGAAATTATCTGTTTCTCCATATTTTTATTTTTGTGACCTGCTCTTAGCGAGCTGACAAATTAGTGACTTATTTTTGAGACTAGAGACTAGAGACGTGAGAAAGCGTACTGAATACCAAATAGTCTCAAAATCCAAGTTCACCACCAAAAGTCACTATTAGTGACTAGAGACCGCTACTGAATGCCAGGGTTAGTCAATGGCGTGTTGTATTTGCGCACTTACGGCACTACTCATTTGACGATGTAGATCACGTTCCCTGCCTCAGTCGTTCAGTAGCTGCGTGTCCTTTTTATTCTTCCTGAGTTCGACCAGCACGAATCGCCAATTTCGACTGTGTAAGACAATGTTTAATATTCTGATGGCGGCATAATCTCCCCAGAACACTAAAAGTGCATCATCAAAGAATTCGAATTACCATGTTCGAAGCAATCGAGCCAAAACCGCGAGAGAAACGTAAGCTCCAAATGTTTTTATTTGACGCTTTTTTTCACAAACAAATAGCATCTTCATATCCATCAACTGTAAATGGTACTGCAAAGAATTTACAAGGCAAACAAATACAGAAAAATATAGCTCAAAGTGGACCATCCATTCTCGAGTTATGCGCCGTCTGACGTAATCAACTTTGGTATATACATATGTACATATAAGTATTTATTTTTAATAACAATCAGGGGTTATATTCGATGTAAATAATCTGGTTTAAATTAATGGCCCTATTGTGTATGGCGACTGATAGTCGATGGGCAACCATATACTAGGATTCGCATTACGTATGGCTACTGGCTACTGACTGTCGGCTACTGAGTCTTTTTCTGTTTCCCGCTATCGACGATTTTGTTATTTGTTCACATAAATTGTTCAACAAATTGGAGCAAAGCTGCCAATTGCTTGGAAAAGTTCATGTTAAAAAAGTAAATTCGGATGTTTTCTGCGCTTTTCTGTATACTGAGACTAATAGCTATACATAATACAAATTACGATACTGGTAGCCATGGCTACTAGACCAGCAACTAGACCCCAGTCGCCATACATAATAGGGCCAGAAATAACTAAATCAAATTAGTTTTTGCTTTAAAATACCACTGTGCACTATTATCCCCACCTTTTTGTGGAATTTAGCTACCATTTTAGGAAGTGTAATTGAATTCTTCTTCTTTTTCTCTTGCTTCCAAAAACCATCCCTGCGGGTGGGAGTGTCAAATTTTAGGAAAATCCTTTCATTATTGAATCATGGTAGTTTCGGTCATTCGAGTTTTGCAGGGTTAGTACCTTATCCGGCCGCAAGTGTCGCTGTGTAGGAATAGCAGCTGGCAAAATTTGTTTCCATTTCAATGGTGATAAATAATGGAAATCAATATACGTTTATACTTTAACTTCTTGAAATAAAAATAATTTAAAAATACCTATCTTACTGTTTTCTTTTTCAATATTTCCTGATTATAAAATGGCAATCACATGACTAAAAAAAAAGAAAATAAAGCTGCAAAGGCCCCCGTCTTGTTTATAAAAAGACAATGAGATGAGCATTGAAAAAGAAAATAAACCTAATAGCAACGTCTTGCACTTGCAAATAATACCACTAATTAATATTTATTTGTGTGACTTAGTTATTTCCAAATTAAAAATTAACTTTGAGTTTATGCGGCAAAGTTTAACATTTTGTAAAATTGTAATAAATAAGTAATATTCGCAAAGAAGATTAAGGAACGGCCTTCGCAGAAAAAGCAAGAAAGTCCGTATCCCTTTCAGGAAGTTACCAGCGGTCAGTGGGCAAGATTTTTAGGTAAATGTGTCACAAAGCAGCATTATCATTATAGCTAATAATATTTGAGGAGAGTAAAGTGAAAGTTAAGTTTTTTATGAAACAGGCTGACTTCCAAAACGTCAATTGCATTGAATACGTACAAAGTGTAATGTTCCATAACGCCGAACTACAATTGGTTGACAATGTATACTTTTCCGAAACGCATCCGAAAGGTTATCGAAACGCATCGCTAGAGTAATCATCGCATCAGAAACAAAATTGATGCTTCGTTTGGTTTTGGACAACGTATGTGTTTTAAAAATGGAAAATTCTAAAATGGTGATCATTGTTTTATTAAATATTCAAAATATGCAGTGTATATGGTTGCAATGTTTCGCAGTAGAACAGTATCCGAACATTGTATTGGTACGTTTTGGAAATCAGCCACAGTATGATAAGAATCCCTCTGCTCAAGGCATATCTGCCAGACAACACGCAGAAATATTTTTTTTTTTTATTTAAGAATTTCAATATAGCCATAATCAATCGATTTAAGGGACAATTTACATTTTTATTTTTTCAATAAAGCTTTTCAAAACATTGTAAAAGCATACATTTTGGTTCTTTTGTCACTTTTCTGTTGCAGTTTTCCAGTTCTATATTTAATTACC